CTCCTCTCCTTGAAAAGCAAAAAAAACCTCCTTCATTGGTACACAATCTCCCTCCCGCACATTCCCACTCCCACCCCCACCCCAAATATAATCCACTCTGCAACCCTCATTCCCTACTCTTATGATAAACATAATGCCCTAAAATATAATACTTTTAAACTATTCTCTCCCTCGTAGACTTCAATGCAGTAAAATATAATTTATCCAGTTTTTCTCAGTCTTACCCCCACCCCGATGTCAGCCTCATTCTACAACACTGGCACCATATAGCATTTGTTCCTTTGTGACTGAGATATTTCACTCAGCATCATGTCCTCCAGGGTCACCAGATCTTTTTAATTTTTAACTAGCTGTGGTGGCTTAGTCAGTATGGAGCTGTGCTGCTAATTCAAAGTATGTGTCTTCAGTGGTTCAAATCCACCAGCAATTCCAAGGGAGAATGATGGGCAATCTCCTCCTGTGCGACTTACAGCCTCTTAAAATCTGCTGGAGGGTCAGCTATGGGTTAGTTCCAACTTGAAAGCAATGAGTTGAGTGGAATTGACTTACCGGACTGGACTTGGTGGTACCAGCGATGTCACAGTCACTGCTGACGCCTGCATAAGATTCAGAAACAGTTTAAGCATCTGAGGGTGGGGTCTGGGCTGATTTGCTTCTTCATTGTTTCTTTTGGTGTTTTGAGTTTTAAAAGCTCTACTAGTATATGTACAGATTTGTTTTTGATATCTGAGTAGCAAGAACTTTGTAAGCAATTCACAGAAAGAAATCTTAAATAACATTTATTATCTTTAATCTAAAAACCACTCTCTTTCCCCTCTGAACAACTCTATTTTCTGCCTGCTCACAGAAGTCCATTTCTAACTGAAGAGGAAACCAGATGCTGCAGAAAGTCAATTCTAAAATTCTGAAGATCTTAGTTTGTTCCAGAAGAGGGCGACTTTGTGCCAAGAATTTGTTTGGTTGCATGGTTGGTTGGTGGTTTTTGTTTAATTGTCCCTTAAAAAGAGGATTTGTATGGACATTTTCAGTTAATCCAGAGTTTATTTTCATTATCACAGCCCCCCTGCTCCCAGTGGTATTAAGATCATTTCTGGAATTATTTAACTTTCCTGGTGTAATAAAAATAGTCTCACAAGCTTAATATAACCCCTCTTCAATAAACTGGGATCTTGCCAGGCCTCTGAATTACTACCAAACAGCTTTAGAAAGGGGGTGGAAAGGTGGGTGAAACCTGTTCTGGGATGGTTTTGAAAATCATTTAAGCCCATAATATCACCTTGTTTTCTAACATTTTGCTTTTCAGCCTCTAGTTCCTTGTTACCTCTGTTTGACTCTGCACGCCCACTTGTGAATTTTCTTTGGGATTTTGTTGTTTTGGTGTTCCCGCCCTTTGCATTTTTCTGTAATAGTCAATAACTTCCTTGCAGCCTATTCATACCTTCACTTCCTCCCCAGGTCCCACAGATTTGGTAGTGTGGTCCTTAGGGAGCTGTACTGCTAACCCACAGCTCTGGCAGTTCAAACACATTGGCGGCCGAAGATGGACAATCTCCTATCATGTGCTTTACAGCCTCAGAAACCCGCTGGAGGGTCAGCTCTGGTAATAGCAATGAGTTTGAGTGCAAAAATGCCCACAAGTGGAGTTGCTCGGCCTCTGCCCAGAACCCTCTGCCCTTTCCTCCCCTACCATGCCCAGAATTCTCCCACTCTGTGGACTCCCAGATCTTCCTAACAGCAGCTAGTCCCCTCAGGCTGCTGACTACAATTTCCACCATCAAGAAAACTGTTCTCTGGAGGATTCTGGTTAGAAAGGTTCTGGGAAGCACGCAGGAGCCATGGCTCTGTCTCCAGAGGGCCCTGGATGCTTGCCCAGAAGTGTCATCCAGAATGGGAAGGGACAGAAGGAAATCTCTGGCTCCTGGTGAAAGGAGGGCCTATCCTTACCCCTCTCGTCTGGTCCCTCTTCCACAGAGCACAGCCGGCTCTCAATTTCCCACACTTCCTAAACCACATGCCTCTGGAGACTATGAACTTTGAGAAACGACGATAGTTACAGAAAGGCTTCAGGTCTTTTCATAGGGTCTCTATGAGTCGTGCTTGACTCAATGGCAGTCAACAACAACATGGAGCGATGAGCACCAGAGGTCACCTGTTTCTGAGCATTCACTGTGCATCTTCTTCTTGGCTCACTCTTTCCAAACTGAGCAAATTATACTTGATCCCACTCCCTTCCCCCCACGCTATTATCTCTTGGGCTAAGAGGTAAGGTCTCAGTCCCCAGAAGGCCACTGATGAGGAAAGAGAGGCAAGAGATTAAGTGGCTTAGCCGGCCAGGAGCACAGCCTGACTGAATCCTCTCAGGTGGGTGACATACAGCCAACCTCAGGCAGGTAATACGAGAGCCATCGTGGATGGGGTGACAGTGTTCAGTTTAGCTGAAATGGGTCACCTGTGCCATCCAACTGCAGCCAGTGAAAGTTTATATGAATCAGGAAATCCACACTGATAGCACTTGTTGTTGTTGTTGTTGTTATGTGCTGTCAAGTCGCCTGCAACCCATAGGGACCCCAAGTACAGCAGTTCTGAAGCCTGCCCTGTCCTGAGCCAGTCTCACTGATTCCAACATTCCTACCCCCGTTGCCCCAGTCACTCCATCAATCCATCTCATGGGGATCTTCCTCTCCTGGGCTGTCTCTCCACCTTCTAAGCATTATGTCCTTCTCCAAGGACCGAAAATGTGAATTTTTATTTTCTGAAGTAAGCTGTGGATTCCTTTGGGGATGTATCTCTGATATATGCCTTTTCAGTGGAATTAGGAGAGGCACCAAGCAGATGATACAGGGCAACTTGTAGGGGACCTGACCACACACATTTAGACAGGAACGGACTCCCTTACCTTGGCAGTGCGGGAACACGTGGGTCTCTGAGAGACACCGGTCGCAGCGCTGTCCTGTCACTCCCGGGCGGCAGTCACACTGCCCTGTCTCTGGGTTGCATGGTGTCTGGTAGGAGCCAAGTGGTGAGCATGTGCAGGCTGCAGGAGAGAACTCGGTTAGCCTGGGCCCGGAGCAGGGGCACACGCATGGGGTACCACGCCGGAAAGGCTGACCCACGCTCCTGCTCCGCCTCCCATTTGCTCTGCAACCTTAACCAGGTCTCTGAACGGCTCCAAGCCTCAGTTTCCCCTTCTGTAAGAGGGATCCTAGTGTCTGCTAGGTAAGACTGTCATGAGGATTAAAGTAGGATTAAGGTAGGGCAATGCTTGTCAAACAATGAGTGTCCACGGACTGCTAGTTTGCGCTCTGCTGGGGTGGGGGGGAGGTAGCTGGCTGCTAACCGAAAAGCCAGTTCTCTCTGACAATTCAAATCCATCAGCGGCTCCAGGGAGAAGGATGAGCAATCTCCTCCCATAAGATTTACAGCCTCAGAAACCGACTAGAGAGTCAGCTGTGTCAGTTCTGACTCCCCAGTAATGAAAGGGCTGTTAGTGTCATAATCAACAGCATGTCCTAAGGATCCAAGAGAGAGGCTTCTTGCTGACAACGACAAGTGATGTCCAAGAGAGGCACTGAGGGAAGAGCTGGGGGAAGTGTCGGGGGGGGGGGAGAGAAACTCGACCCTTCAGCAGGGGCCAAGAGTGAACCACTGCAGTCCAGATGCACTGACAACTGTCTCCCTTATTTCAATAGGTCCTTCTCATTTCATAGCTTTTATCTCAAGAACCAGGAGCTGAATCCCTGAGTGCCTGGTTCCCAACCAAAAGGCTGATGGTTGGAATCTCCTCGAGGGACTTCAGAGGAAACGTGTAGAGACCAGATGGAGAAAGGTTGGAGTCACAGAAAATTCTATGGAGAATAATTCTAGTGGGGTTCAAATGAGGTCACCAAGAATCCAAATCAGCTCAAGGGCAGATGGTTCACTGCCATCAGCTACACGTCCATGATGATGATTCAGCTCCCTCTCCCCCTGACTTGCAGCAGTGCCACGCACAACCCCAGGCTGCTCAGACAGGATCCATGAACCACCGTAACCTTCAGAGTAACAGTAAATTAAGAAAAAAGAAAAAAAATACGTGTTCACAGGGTTTCAAAAATTCCACACTCGCTGAAGCCTAGGCCAAGAAAAGCCTCGGAAGGTAAAGTGCTAATATCAGAGATGGATTTGCACGTGTCTGTGGAGGGAGAACCGTGCCCGTGGGTGAGGCTTAGAGCTCTGAGCCTGGGGACCTCTTCATTCTCTTCCACAGGACTTGGTCAAACTCAAGGGCTACATGGTAACAATAATGCTAGAGTTTGCCAGACCTGTCATTGGATCATGAAATAAGAAACCTAGCCGCTGAGAGAAAGCAGAGAGAGTATTCTTATTTACAGATTACCTGGGACCCCAATTGCTATTGTTGTTGTTGTTATGTACTGTCAAGTTGCCTGCAACTAATTGTGCCCTAAGTACAACAGCTCTGAAGCCTGCCCTGTCCTGAGCCAGTGTCACTGCCTCCAACACACCTATCCCCACTGCCCCAGTTACTGTATCAATCCACGTCCTCTGGGGTCTTCCTCCCCTGCATTGTCCCTCCACCCTCTCAACATCCTTGGCATCAGTAGGCAGAAAATCAACAGATGAATTGCACTGGGGGGAAACTGCTCTCAGGGACCTCTCCAGAGTACTGAGAAGCAACGATGTCAGTCTAGAGACTAAGTGGCACTTGATCCAGGCCATGGTCTTCACAATCACTTGCTATGCATCAGAGAGCTGGACAATGACTATGCATGACACAAGAAGAATCTCCAAGAAAACAAATAGGTCTGTCTTGGAGAGGGTGAAACCAAGGTTCTTCTCGGAGGCTAGGAGTTTGTAGCTCCATCTCAGATACTTTGGGCATGTGGCCAGGAGGGACTGGTCCTTGGAGAAGGACATCATGCTCAGAAGGGTGGAGGGACAGCTCAGGAGAGGAAGAGCCCAGGACTATGTGAATTATTTAGAGACAGTTGGTTACTTGCAGACCCAGAACCTCAGCCCCTCTTCCACCTTCCTGTGTGATGTTCATTCGCCCAGCAAACATGTATCGAAGGCCTGTGTTCATAGCCCTGCAGCTAGGTCCTACGAGAAGGTAAGTGTGAGAAATCCACGCCTTGACCCCAAGAAGCTGCGCATCCAGAGTAGAGGATTACTGATGTAGTGTGAAGTCCCTCAACCTCAAGAAACTAGACGGGAGAGAGGTTAAGAACCACGTCACTCAGTGAACTCTCTGCAGACAACAGCACAAGGCCCAGCTCTCCCACAGCCTCTGGTCAGTTCTTTCACATCCATGCCCCACAAGACCTTTCTGCCCAGATCAACTCCTTGCCCGTCAGACAGGTCTCTCGGGAAGGACTCTCGGGTTCTTGCGGCTATTTTTATCCAAAGGGATGCTAAACAGAGAAGAACGCTCAGCCACTCACAGGGGCAGCCAGGATGACTATAGAAGCCCAGGGCACACTGGCTGCAGGTCCAGCTGAAATAATAGGGAAGACAGTGACACTGTCCCTGTGGGCCCAATGTTATGTCTGGGGAGCCTTGGACATCACAGTTATACGCTGTTGGTGGAAAAAAAAGCCCAACCTTATGAGCATGACTTTTTTGCAAAGCTGTGAATTCCTCAATCTGATTTCGTATTTCATTTCAATTCCACTCTCTTGGAGAGCTGCCAGATGCCAACCCAAACCCCAGTGCTGGCTGCCCTTTCCTTACCCCGGGAAATACTCTAAGGCTTTCAAAAGCTTTTCATTCTGCTCTTTGTTTGGGTCCAGATCTTTCGGAGTTCCTGGAGTATCTCATGTCTTTCTTCGGATTCCTCAATGTTTCTAGTTTAAGACACATTTATTCCAAAAGAGCACAAAAAAGCAATGATAATAAAGATCCATTAATGAAACAGCTCATGTTTCCTAACGCCTTCCAGCATCTAAAGATAGCCCATGTCATTAGCTGTCACTGCTCCAGTCCCATCTCATGGTGATTCCACGCTTTACAGACTGTACTGCACAGGGTTTTCTTGATGATGATCCTAATGGAGGGAGATCACCAGGCCCTTTCTTCCGCAGCACCTCTGGGTGAGTTCACCCTGCTAACCTTGTTAGCAGAGGTACACAAAGCTTTTGGGCAATGGAGGGACGGACCTGTTCCATTGTGCATGCTGAATAAATTCTTGCTGATTGGATTAATGAATAATTTATTAGTCCAGCCCTATACTGCACATTGCCATAAAGTCAGTTTTAATGCCCAGGGACCCTATGAACTGCCAGGATCAAGCAGTGTTTGTTGCTGTTATACACAGGATCACTCTGGGTTGGATGCAGCTCAAAAAGCACCTAATGATAAGCACCCGCCATGCAGGTGCTTATTGCTCCTTGAGAACAGTTTCTTGGGGTCTAAACTGTCCTGTTCTTGGTGGGGCAAAACAGTTTGCTGTTTCAGATCTGAACCCTTGGGCCCCAAGAGAACTTGTCAGGACCCATCATCATGTCAGTGAGACACCCCCCTCCCTTATACGTGTCTTTTCCTAGAAACGTTCCTGAGTTTTTAAAAGAAGCTTGTTGCTGGGCCCGCTAAATCTTCTAATCCAATGAGCAGGGTTCAAAATGCTGCATCAGGTAGCCCAGTGTTTTGCAGTTGAAAAGTCCTCTGCTCTTCAGGAGTATAAAACCCTTTCACTAGCCCTTGCCAACTGCAGCGCTGGCTCTGAGCTTTGTGTCCAATTACTTTCATGTACTCCAGACTGCTCTCAAGATAAAGCTGTATTCTTTTCCCATTTTATTTTGACGTATTCAAGTGCCCTTTAGTTTTCTTTCTTACAGATGTAAATCCAACCACAGCTAGAAAACCAGTTTGGAGAACTGTCCACATGTCCTTCTGTTTCATATGTACATGGAAGTCTGGCGCCACACTTCATCTCAACCACTGAACACTTGCTTGGCCTGGTTACGTGGAGGCTTACTTTTCTTTCTCTCACTTTTCTCTCTCTTCCTCCTCCCCTCTCTCCTCACTCCTGCTTATCTCTTGTGGGCCTCGCCTCCGGCTTCCTTTTTCTCTTCCCCTTTTATTCCTCTCCTTCTTTCTTATCGCTCTCCTTTTGCAGATACAGTTTGCACAGAGCATTAAGGATGTAACCAGACCACATCAGCCAGTCAATCTGCACTCATGGTGCCTGCACCCCTCAGTGCACTAGCATAGAACTGAGCCCACAGGGGTTTTCAAAGGCTGGTCTTTCAGGAGATCTCCAGACTTCTTTTCTGAGGCACCCCTGGGTAGACTTGAACTTCCAACATTTCACTGAGCAGCTGATCTCTATGACCATTTGTACCATTCGGTAACTCCAATGAGGGTGAAATTAGTGCCCAGAATTCACTGTCCTCTTTCTACTCACCAGGGAGCACTGAGAGTGTAGTCCAGAGAGAATGGTGATTTTAACCTAAAGGCAACCAGTTCAAATTCACCAATAGCTCTGCAGAAGAAATACAGGCAATCTTCTCCCATGTGGTTTACAGCCTCGTAAAACCTAGTGGTGGCCTAGTAGTAACAAGCCACGCTGCAATCCTGAAGACAAGCAGTTCAAGGCCACCAGCTGCTACATGGGAGAGGGATGGGTAATCTCCTACCATGAGATTAACTGCCGCTGAAAACCACTGGAAGGTCAGCAATGGGTTGGTTCCAAATCTAAGGTATACAACAACAAAACCTAGTAGAAGAGGCTCTGGTGGCCTAGAGGCAAGAAGCTGCACTGCAATCCCAAAGGCAACGAGGTTCAAATCTACCAGCTGCTCTGCGGGAGAAGGAGGAGTAATCTTCTCTCATGCAATTAACTGCCTCTGAAAATCCACTGGAGGGTCAGATATGGGTCGGATCTGATTCGACAATAAACAACAACAACAAAACCTAGTGGAGGGTCAGCTATGAGTCAGCTCCAACTCAATGGCAATGAGCTTAAGAGGATTTTGTGGGGTTTTGTTTTAATTTTTTCATTATTATTTTCGTTTCCTGCTCACAGAAGGAGCGCTTCCA